GTCAGACTCCAAGTCGGTAGCCGATGTGGGCGTACCTTTGGGACCAGGTTAGGGTTCCGTACGTGAGGTTAGAGCGGGCGTACATTGAGTTCATGAATGAGCTAGACACGCTGACGATGTCTAGTGTAAGTAAATTTTATTTTCCATGCTGGTTTGAAATGGATTAGTATACCATCTAACATCTTGTTTGGACATGTTGCAGGTGGAGTGGGAGCCGTATGATGGAGAGGGGGCACTTCCTTTTTAGTTGAGCAACGTTTGTGGTTCGACGACGACTTCTATAGGATGAGGTGCCCTATAATCTGCTTCTATGCTGTCGAGTTCCACCTGTCAGATAGAGTTGCACGCCAATTTGGAGTGAGACAGCTTTGGCCTACGTCTCCGTTCTCGACTGGCGTTGACTTACACAAGTAAGCGTTTTGCTATTTCAAATGTCTCGTGATGGTCCATTTCTATTAATATGGTGATATGTACATGGATTCAAGTAACGATGACATACGTGCAGGTTGGATCATCAAAAGAACAGAAAGATTTTTGACTGGGAGAAGCACCACCAGTCGTATGTTGAGCAATGAGAGGAGATGCACGACAACAGTAAATGAGAACAATGAGCCGCACATGAACCGTGAGTTCAGGCGGTACCAAGCTTGGTACCAGCGTGCAACACGTTGCAGACTGAGGGTACAGTGGATAGAAGATGACTACGCCGACATCGAGTTCTTCGACGATGAAGACACGGCGTACAACCAATCTACTCTTGCAGGAAGGCAGGTGGAGGCAGGACCGATCATTGACAGAGTGGTAAGTCAATTGCCTTATTTTTCTACGTTAAGATGCATACCAATACATTAGGTGTTCTTGGACCGACATTAGGAGTTATCTATTTTAGTTAGTGCCACCTTCGAGCCTTATCACCCTTATAATACATTAGATTCTTGTACAAAAGAAAACAAAACCTATTGCTATATGTTTAGAAGTATTATTACTGAGAACTTGGTTGCAGGGCAATACACTCAAATGCTCCGTTGAAGAGATTGAGCGCATTCGGCCGAGAGTCAGGGACAACTACATGCTTAGCTTCCTGGATGTAAGATTCAAAATATTCTTTGAAACATATTATTAATACGTTAGATTCTTTCAATTAACATAATTTTGTACAACAGAGGTTGTCACGTCGGCTACGCCGTGCGGCTGCTCGTTGTGGTTGTAGGACAGACACGACGCAAGACGTGTACGTTCCTTCCGCAGGCAGAGGAGGCTTGGGTTCCTCTAGCCAAGTAGCTACAGGGGATGGGGACGAGGATGAGCACGAGGAGCTTGGCCCCTCTTAGCTCCATGACGCTCCCTCGACTCAGCCTACACCACCTCCAGGCACTAGGCGACGCCGTCCGCGTGACCCTTACACTCCATGTACGAGCGCTCTCGGTCACAAGGGTAAGGGCAAGAGTAGGAGGCAGTGAGGGTTGTCGTAGATGTTAGTATGCACTATTATAGATTTTGTATTTATTTTCTATAACTATTTGGGACTGTATGGACATTGTGGACTATTTGGACTGTGCAGGACATGTTATGTTGGTTGTGATGTTCGTTGTGGTTGCATTTTGCTCCTTGGATGATTAAATGTTTGAAATATATAATGATGTCTCTGTTTGTAACTGTGGATGCTCCTGAAATAAGGGAAACTCTTGTGAATTTTTTCTGTGAATCATTAATCATACTACACTGCTAAAAAGGCACAAATCTAGTACACAGATTAAATGTAAATTTATTAGAACATGTATAGTCTAATTGTATCGTACAGACTTGGGTCGGGACTCCCGACGGCCACAATCACTGCGCAGGCTAAGTGACTGGGCGTCAGGACTTCCGACATGAGTCATGACTTCCGACTGTCGGGAGTTTCAGCTTACGTCGGGACTTCCGACACCAACAGTCACTGAAAATATTCTATGTGCTCGTGGAGTGCTAGAGTGTCTCTCTTTTGATTTTATTTTTATGCTTGAGCACTATATCTTTCTCAGACCAACTAAGTTTGCATCCCTCTTTATAGTGCAGCGGATTCTAAACTCAAAAACAAAAATAAAACCATTGGAGAGTAATAGCTGCGACATATCTCATTAAGATCACATTAGTCCCTAATTTTGATGTTATCGATACACCAAAACCCACATAGGGGGCAAATACACTTTCAAATCCTCAGTCTGAAACATACTGAGTAAGCAACTCATCATCCGAGTACCAGTCCTCTACCACAACCCTGTTGCCATGGCTAGGCTCACCTACGTTGCTCTGACCTGCCTGTCGCCTGTAGTAAGCGGCCTCCGCTTTATCTATGGCCGTTGCGGCCTGAGTGAAGAACGCATCGTCATCCTCCTCCGTCTATAAGCCCGTCTCTACTAGAGCGATGAACTCGCTCAGTCTGCCAATGTCGTCATCAGCCTCCTCCGCCTATAAGCCCACCTCTGCTAGAGCGATGAGCTCGCTCAGTCTGCCAGTATCGTCCTCAGCCTCCTACGCCTGCAAGCCCGCCTCTGCTAGAGCAATGAGCTCACTCAGTCTGCCAGTGTCGTCCTCATCCTTGTCCCCCTCATCAAACAACACAATCGGTGATTGAACGGTGCGACCAGCTCGCGATCTATGCTCATCTAACTTCTTCTCCTCATACCTTGCACGAGCCACCTCTGCGGTATGTTTCTCGCTGCAACCAATCCCTTCATGTATAAAATGCTATCAGTTAGCAACGCGATTATATTATATTTAAAATTAGGCAACGAAAAAAGGCTTTCAAACACTCACTGGCACATAATGCAACAACATACTCGTTCAAGACCTATATCTGTACTCTTGTCTCCTCCCTTGCCTCCTTCCTTGCCCTCTCCTCCTCTAATGTCATCCGCCTCTCCAATCCCTATTTGTTAAGCCTAACATCGATCGGGTTAAAAATACTGCGTTGTTTAACAAACTCACGTATCTTTTCTTTGTGATGTTTAACGAATAGGTTGACGTAGTTAGGTCCATATCCCCTCTTCTGTGCAATTACTTGCCTCTCATTCAGTTCATACAAGAACTTAGCTTGACCATTATAACATTCCCACCTGTATTTCTTAGTGCTCTGTTCAAAAGAAATATTATATCATATATGTCTTAGTAAAAGAAACAAAATACGATTTTATGTTTATCACAAAAATAACCAACCTCATCATACTTAACCATATGGCTGCAATAATAGACTATTCCAAGCTCCGAAGGGACTAGGCCATAGTTGGATTTAACATCACATTCACACATGACAGGAGGTGCTTTGTAAATTATCCTTTCTTTCTTTTTTTCCTTAACCTTTCACGGTTCTTCCGGCCATTGGTTCTTAGGACCATACAACCACTCCTTGAAACGACACTTCGCCATTGAAAACACCTAAATAAGGTGACATTAGTACATGAACACATATAGCTTAATATTTCAACACATACACTTTGCACTTACTTCATGCTTGTTTGGACATACAAACTCAACGTATTCTCAGGGTTTATCACAACTCGATCTCCGTAATCGCACAGAGGAGGTTCCTCGAGTCGTCTAACTGCAGCTAGGTGCTTCTCTACTTAGCCGTCATTGGCGGAGGGTTTGGGGGGGTGGAACCCACCGCTTGAAGTGCTCATGTGGATGTCTCCCTCTAAACCAATCGTCGAAAAGGAGGTACCTAGGATCAAACTTGTCTGCGCCGTCGATCCACTGAAAGAAAAAAACACCTCTCATGGTCCTACACAACGAGATTTCAACAAAATATTAGTAGCATACTTACACAAATAAAAAAAAAAGATAGTGGAAAAATAATTTCTTACATTAAAACGACTGCATATGTAGAAGCACCGCGCCGCTGTGTCCGGATGTTTAGATTAAAAAACATGGACCGGGAAACCACAGTCACAGTTAGGGACAGGGAGGTCAGGAGGGACGGAGGCATCTTTGCTAGACGCGTCGGGGTATAATTCTCGAGGACGACCCCGTTTTTGCCAAAACTCCTCCCGAAACATTTCTTGCATCTAATAAAACAGATGTAATTTAACAAACATAAATCAAAACATCACAAATAAATGTCAATGAGAACCATAACTACAATATAACCAATTTCGTTCTAAAAACCGAAAACAATTAACATTAAACCCTAAACCTAGGGTTTCCAATGTTATGCACAACAATGAACCCATAAAACATAACAACATGCGTTGCGGTTACCTAGGTATAATACAAATATTAAAAATTGCATGAAACCCAAAGTAATGACGATTCTTAGGTTAAAAAATCTGACTAATATATACCGAATCGATGCGAAAAAAAATTAGAGGGGAGCGAGGATACCTTGTTGTCGAAGATCTACGGATCAAATTAAAATTTTCAAGGTCCAATATGCCGATTCGTGAGGTAGGGCGAAGTGAGGATAGAAAAAACCCGAGAGGGAGAAGAAAGAAGAGGAAGAAGGCTCGGGCAGGAAGGTTGGGGTTGGGGTTAAAACACAAGTTCGGCGCCAGTCACCCTGGCGCCGAGCTCGGCGCCATGTGGGTCTCGAGCCAAAGAGCTCGGCGCCAGGGACGCTGGCGTCGAGACGTGTTAGCTCGGCGCCAGAGGGTTTAGATTTTCAAATCTTTCATCCAGAAACGTATTTGTGAAAAACTTAAAAAAAGGCTAAAATATAAAAAATTCGGACAATCAACATGCATGTACGAACCGCTTTGCAAAAACATTCATCAACAAACGTACAATGCAACATAAATAAAAAATAAAGTGACTAACAACAGCAGTGTACCAACTTGTTATTACACAGTTATTACATGTAAGCCTCGATCGAACGTACGTGTAAGTTGTAACCAAGTGCGTGCTAATATAAGTACTCTACCCTCTACAGACATGTACTGATGTACATACAGGTGTACATATATCACGACTCTGTTTCTAGTAATTCTCATCTCACATTATTAGAGACGCTAGCTGTAACGATCGAATTACTGGTGGTGGGCGATGAAGAGATCACCGCCGGCGTGGTGTTGATGATAACACGCAGCAGCAAGAGAGGACGACGACGACGACGACGGCAGCGGCAGTAGAAATGGATGGCTAGAGAGATTTTCCAGGACTGATGATGATGAGCCACTAGCATCAGCAACCGTCGCCGATACGATGCTACTCGTCAGCGGCAGCAGGGCGCCGGCGCTGCCTGCTCCCACCAACGGAAACTGGAACGGGAACTGCAGCTGCAGCGGTGGCGGAGCGGACGCTGAGTACACCATCGTCGGCGGCGATGGTGGTGCCGGCGCCGGTGCGCCGGTGAGGCGCTGCACGACGGACTTGAACTCGGCCGGGTGCGCGTGCACGACTCTCGGCGACTCCACGTAGATGATCACCGGCTGCCGCGGAGGCGCCTGATGGTGGTGCAGCCGCCGCTTCTTGACGACCGTTTCCGTGCCCGTCGTGCTGGTGCTGACCTTGAGCGGTGCCGGGCGCGGGCCCTGCAGCTGCAGATCGTGGTGGCACTGCAGCAGCGACGGCTCCATCATGCTGGACGACGATCGGCTGGGCATCGTCGACGGTCTAGCTAGCTCCTGTACCGGACCGGAGCGCTTGCTGGCGACGAAACACTAGCTACCGCTACTGTAGTGATGGAGTCACTGGTGTGTGCTTGGGCTAAATCTGGTAAGCATGCACTGCACTGCACCTGGTGGCGGGCGAATATATAGATGACGGCCTGCCGGCGCTGTGGCTGTGTGCACGGGGACTTGGTATTCACTCCTGGAAAATAGTTACCCAATAATCCACCTATGCCACTAGCTAGCAAAGTAAGTAGATCAGGTCAGATGAGAGAGAAAAATGGTGGCGCTTAACAAGTCAATGCAAGGTACCCATCTGTGAGTTACCGACAAAAGTAATCCATATTTAATCAATTTTTTAGTGAATACTATTCGCATTTATGACTCAAAATTAAGTTATTATAAAAATACATCTTGTAATTAATCTAATGATATTTATTTAATATCATAAACATTAGTACTTTTTATCTATAATTAGTCAAACTTAAGATTTTAAAATATGACACTATTAGAATTGCATTTTTTATGGACGGAGGAGGAAGTAAGTAATAGAGCAGCTAGCAGGGAGATGGTGATGGAAAGCATGCAAAATCGAAGAAGGTGAAGTAGAAAATTAGGCCCTGTTGCCTTGTTTTTAGTCATACTATTTTAGCGAATGAATAGTATTTTTTTTTCATAACAAATCAATGAACAGTACTTTCAGCTATATAACTTTTTAGCAAAATAAACGGAGCCTCTAAACAGCAAGCAAAGGCCCAGTCAGACTGTCAGAGTCATGTCATCTACTACTACCGATTCAAGTCGCTTTCTTTCAGCTTGCAAAGTGCATCTTGCCTTGCCTCTAGGCCTGAGTGTGTGTACTACGTCATGCATGAAACATTCAACTGATGCAGCAGGGAAGAATGAAGTTTACGTACGTGCGACGCTTGTTATTATGCAGCTAGCGGCGGTGCAGGGTATGTATAGCGGCGTCTGAATGAATCAATGAATAATATAAATAAATAAATAAACTGTCATCATCAGTGGAGACGGGTTCCTTGCATGTGTACTCTACACGTATGTACGGTATGCAAATATGGAATGGGACGTCGTCAAAGCAACCTCAAACGGAGTTAACAAACAGCAGCTCTGAACTGATCGTCCGGCCTGTTGGTTCAAGCTTGAATGAAACTCGGTCGTATATGCATATGCAGTAGTTCAATTTGGAAACCAAATAATCTGGTGCAACGACCATTTCAATATCAATAAATAAATAAATAAAATCCGCTGCATCCGATTACCAGGCGACATGCAACTGTGTCTACGTACTGTCCAAGCTCCATGATCTGGAGATCCTAGGACGGGTAGGTACTGCATATGCCCTCGCCAGGCTGGTGCGATGCAGGTTTGTGCTGTTTCGTTGTCTATATACAGCTTTTTGGGCTTGGCCGGCTCCACTCATGCAAAAAGTTGCCCTCAGCCTAGCTCTCGAGATACTCAGGTTTTGGACGTTTCTCCAAAGCCAAGCTCGCCAGATGCGAGCAATTAATGAGATGATGACGTTGTTAGTGTATGATTAGCATATATTAATTGATGTTAGTGTATTTTCAAACAATATTAAGCAATAAAAACACGAATTAAGAGCTTTAAAAGATAATTGCATATAATAAATATATATGGTGACGATAGTTATTTGCTTAATTTTATCGTCTCATGCAACATGTTCTAAGTGCGAGCAACTAAACATCGTCTAGGCTAACAAGGTACAAGCAACCAAATATATCAACATTGCATGCATTCAGCCTAGCTACCGGGAGCCTGGCTCCCGGATACGGGCCAGGCTCGCTTCATACGCGAACCAATCACGCCCCAGGTTGACTGCATGCACCTGTCCAGAACGTGCATCCTGAGTTCCCTGACCAATGCAAGTATTGTTCATGCATTGCATCCAGCCCAAATTAAATTGGTTTACTAATAAAGAACCAACTTTAGCATATATATACTTGCTTCCGCCCAGAAAAAAAAGAGAGAGCAAAACTACAAGTTCCTCATGGAATTGATAGCTAGCTAGCTTAATTTAGGATGGATCGGCAGAGATGAATCTTGATGATCTGGCCAAACACAGATTCAGAGATCTATATATATATATATATTGAAAGCATGCAGACTAAATATAGTTTGGTAGAAACCAAAGTAAGTAGAGGTGCCAGAGTAACAATAGTTTTGGCATCAGTGGCGAAGCTATATATAAGTTTGTGGGTGCAGATGCACCCACGAAAATAAAATAAAGAGTAAAGTGCACAGTCGGCCCCTAAACTTGTTGGTCTATGTCAAGCCGATCCCTAAACTCTTAAAACGACTACTTAAGTCCCTAATCTATGTTTTGGTTTCGTTTAAGTCCATAAATGGTACTAACCAAGTGTTCTCGTTGTTATATTTGCAGATGACCCCCTCAGATTGGTACAGAGTAAAATATCCCCATTCGCTCTCGCTCTCGCTCTCGCTCCTGCCCGCGCCGCGCTGATCGATCCTAGCTAAGCCGCCCAGATCTTCGCCGGGTCACTGCTGCTGCCAATCGCGAGGATGAGGCCGCCGTGGCTTGCCCGAGGATGAGTCTGACGTGGCGAAACGTCCCATGAGGCAGCCGTGGTCAGCATAGCCGCCATCCATCGCCGTGGCTTTCGTGCCATCGCTGGTCGCCATGGCTCAGGCCGCGCCCGATGAGGGCGCGTCCGAGTCAGCGTGCGGCAGGAGGAGGCGTCGTCCAGAGGCATGCCGTCAGGGCCGTGGGGCTGGAGGCCGTGTCCAGGAGGCGCGCCGTCGGTGCCATGAAGTCTTTGCTTCTGATGGGCTGGTGAAGGAGCTGCCGCTGGATGTACAGGACAGGAGCAATTACCGAGCACAAAAAATGAGCTAATGCTGCTGTAGCCCCTTCACCAGCTGTTGTCTCTCATCCAGGAGCAATTGCCGCTGCTTTTCTTAGGAATTGGTTCATAGATGATACTTACATTGAAGTGTTTTGTTCTACGTATGTGAATCATGTTTCACTAGGATGTAGTAATGGTACATGTAAGTGACCTCACAATTTGATGAATAAATTTTGGTTGAAATCTGAGTGTAGGTTGCTGTGTGCAAAAAACGACCGGCATCTCATGACCGACAAAGCCACTTCATGGCATTTCCTAACATTGAGAAAAAAATCCAGCACTATTGTGGACTGAAAGAGATGGCATTTCACAACACCCGACAAAATGTGTAACATCCAGCAATTGTTTTGACAAAAGGTGCAACATCCAGCAAGGTAAAAAGGTCTAAACAAGCTAACAGTTAGTCGCTAAACAAGTTGTTGCAACATCCAAAGTAAAGGTCTAAACAAAAGGTGCAACATCTTTGCTAATTTTTCTACTGACTTCTTGGGCACTTGCTCCCCGTCATTTAGGACTTGTTAGTTGTTGCCCTTTCTTGGTTGGGAGTTCTTTGCAGGTGCTTGATTTCCATCCTTGAGCTTACAAAATTCAGACTCCCAAAAGATGACTTAAAATTACACTTATTAGAGCAAAGTGATCTGGTGTTTCCTATTTACACACTCAAAAGATGACTTAGACAATGCACTAATTAGACCATGTCTACACCAGTGCCATCTTCTCCCTTGTCTCCACCATCGTGCACCAACTTTTTCTTGTTTGCTCCATTTATGCCCCTCCTTGGTATAGATGTGGATGCCTTTCTCTTCTTTCATTGTGGCTGCCTTGCCAGCGATTTGGAGCAAGTGGTCAATGCAATAGGCCTTTGCACAAAGTTGGTTTGTCATGATGAACTCATTATCCGGGAGTGGACCAACATTAGTAGAAATAGTTGATGTTTGAGTTTCTGTACCACACAAATTATGTCACATTAGATAATTAGTTACAAGATGATATATTGTTTAGTGGTTGCAAAACAAACATACCTGTGATAGCATTTGACCGAGCAAGGTTGTACTTGGCTGTGTTTGAGTTCCACCTGGTATTTCTTGGTATATGGCTTGGTTGATAGGATCATTAGATTCCTCCGTAATCGGGCTGCTACAATGTATTTCTTGGTATATGGCTGTTGTCTTTGCTTGTTCAGCCCTCGCTTGTAATGCGCTACGTGTATTTGCAAACCAGTGCTTTGGCTTCTATGATAAATCCCATTTTCTTAAGCTTGCATCCAGCACTATTATGATTAGCCTCTCAGACAAAGAATCGCAGTGGACCTGTAACTCCATGCTTAGAAAATTTGGGCCCATTCTTGCCTTGAACTTCATGTGGTTGCTTCTTCACGGATTTTGGAGGCCTACCAACTTTTTTTCTCATACAAAGGTGGCTGCACTGTGGACCATCAACCTTTTCCCACCGCCTCTCGATCTCTGCGCAAGGCCATATGTTGAATCCATATGCAGTATTGAATGTCTACTTTGAGTAGCATTTTGGCAACATGATTCGTGTTTTATCCTCTCATGCCTCAAACAAGCAATAGCATGGCTACAAGGAACTCCAAGTTAATTGCCACCTCCTGCAATCACATGTTTTTGAATTGATATCTACTATGTGGCTGTAATCCCTCACCTTTACTTGGAACACTCCTTGACCAGAAGGTATAGCTAAACACATATTTGCCCACTCTGCATTCTTTGACAGCTTCTTTCTTATCTTTGGACAGAAGGTTTCTTCTATTTGATTTGCTAATTCTTTCTGTTTGTTGTAATGTCTTGTCATCAACTGAGTCTTGATCATCTCAAACATGCTAAGAATTGGAAGCTCTCTTGCATCTAAGATGTAATTGTTGAACACCTTACAATTATTGTTCAATAATATGTCACATTTAGGAAATTCTGAGAAAAAAGCTCTAACCCAAGTATTGGGAGGCATCTTTTCAAGCCACTTGAAGGCAGCCTCATCCAATGCTTTCATTTTTTCCATGTTCATATTCCACTGCTGCACAGAAGATGACCTTGCACATGACCATAGTTGATTCTTTAGCACCTCACCCTT